GTTTCAGATCTACTCTTTTTTGAAGCTGATTCTCCATGGATTTGCTGATGGATCCATGGAGGAGGGTGTTTTATAGATGCAGTAGAAGAAAGGGAACAACTGAAGAGAACCAGAGAGGAAGTACTTGCCTGATGTTTGTTGCCTGGTATGGGTCCGATCACCCTGCCTTTTAGATCAATTTGTTGAAGCAGATTCATCTTTCTTTCTGCTCCCATGGCGGCTATACAGGAGGAGGAAGAAGGAGCTTTGGATCACTTTCTTTCGTGCAGGTCAAGAAAGCAGCGTGGGATTGCCTGGGCGAGCGGGCGTGGGAGGGGTTGGGACGTGGGGGCGAACGAGTATGTGGACAGGTGGCCACGTGGGGGGATCGCTTTTTGTTCGGAATTGGGCGTTGGAATCGCTCGGTTTGGTGGCAGCTCGATCCTGCTTTTTTTGTACCGCGCGGGTGATAGGAAGTTGCCTTTTATGGCCGGCCGCTCGATCGCGCTAGTGGGCAGCCGGCCGCCCACTAGGCAGTTTCTTAACTTTTTCTTATTCACATACACAGTTTCTTTCTTTTCTTGCGAATATATTCACATACACAGTTGTGAAACAAAACGCTCAAAATTAATGGAACTGTAATCAATCCCACAAACTTAAAACTGTACTCCTTTGCGTGGGCAAACAGACACCCGGACTATCTAAGGTACAATGAAGGGGACGACCATTGACAAGAAGCCGTCATAGGTAAGAGCTGCCGAGCCGGTGTAGCGCGTGTCATTCTCCTTGAATTTTTCAGTCAGACCCTGCACAGAACAACACAGCAGCGAAAAATCTATCAGCAAACATTTGAAACTACGATCACATAGTTGATTGACTGGCGACGTACCTTCACAACCATTCCGCACCTAAGATCGAAACCGAAAGGAGAAACAAAAAATTAATCAGTTCCATATGTATGTTAGAGTATTGGCTGAAATGAGATCATTTTGTATGTCAGATATACTTGGGACTCCATATACTTACTCCACAAAGTTGTCGAAGTCTAGGGCGCCGCGGTGGGAAACACCATTGTTGTAGTTTGCAATGAGAAGATCAATGACCGAAGGCGGCACCGCGTATCCCAGGCCACGAAGAGCTTCTCTCAACTCGTCGGAGTCGATCTTCCCGCTGCAATCCCTATCGTATCTGTCGAAAACGACCTAGGTAGTGCCATGAAGAACAGAAATAAGTCACATGCTGATGATGATAGATGGATGGGGGGGAATAGCAGATCATCGACAGAGGTTGACAAATCTTATTTTATTTTTCATTTTGATTTGACTTCCCTCATGACAGATTAAGTTGCAGTATTAGATGGGCAATAATTCCATGAGCATCATAACATGATTGGGTAACCAGCTGTTCCATACAGAGAAACAGGGTCTCCACCTTCTCATTTGATAAAAAATGTACACTTGCAGTATTCGGTAGATTCCTATGCAACGAACACAGGGTTGATGATATTTATTTATAGATTGGTGGTCGAACTGCAAGGAATGTAAAGATATGCAGGGAGAAAACGGAGAGGAACAGAAACAGAATGCGCACACTCTGTTTCATTCGAGAGCATCCATACTTTCGTTCAGAGTTAAACGATAGCAAGCAAATTAATAGTAGCACTCACCCGCCATTGCCCGAGGCAGTTCCACAGCGTCACGAACTCCGCTGGCCCTGCAACAAACATAGTTTGGAGCCGGCAAGAAATCAGTATTTGTTGTTTTCGCTCAAACAGTGCTGAAAGAGATGCAGATTGTGGGATGTTTGATGGAGCATGCATAGGTGTGTGCTCTGCTTAGTACTTACCCATCCGGGAGCGCGGGGAGGCGAGCTGGGCGTTGCTGAAGAGGAACATGAGGAGGCGGACGGTGCGGATGCTGAAGCGGTGGTACGCGTCGGAGAGCGCGGCCTGCAGCTCCCCCTCGTCGATGCTGCCGCTGCCGTCGCGATCGACGGCCCGGAACGCGCGCTCCACGTCCGGGTGCGTCCTCGGCGGGAACGCCACCGCTCCTCCGAAACCTCCTCCCATCGGCGGCGGGTAGCCTCCTTGGCCGTAGCCGTAGCTGTAGCCGTACGGCGAGGAGGAGGGCGTGGGCGCGGGAGGCGCCGAGGGCGCGTAGCCGTTGCCCTGGCCGTATCCTTGGCCGTTGCCGTACGGCGAGGAGGAGGAGGGCGCGTAGCCGTTGCCCTGGCCGTATCCCTGGCCGTTGCCGTACGGCGAGGAGGAGGAGGGCGCGTATCCTTGGCCGTGGCCGTAGCGGCTGTAGTCGGCCATGCGAGAGAGGGAGGCGATAAGGTCTGTGGGGGTTGAGGAAGGCGGTGTCCGACGGCAACCGCACTGACGAAACGGCGGTGGATTCCTTCCGGGATATCAATCAAAGGGACGAAGACGTTGACGTGAGGGAGCGGTTCTAGCAGGGCTCCTTCTGGGTATATGTAGGCAAAAAAGAACGCGGTGGCCGTTCGCCCTCTTTCCGTGCAATCTCTTGCCGCTGGATCGTTCTTGTCGTCGTTGAGCTGATCGTTCGCGCGCAAAAACCTAGGGCGGCGGCATCAAATTGGCTTTGTCATCGTTCGCGCGTTCTACTGGAAGTTTCTTGTGGGATGCTTAGTGCGCAAGAGGAGAAGGCGTGTGCGGCATGGCTAAGCAAACCATACCCTACGCGGGTGCTGCCAAGACGCGTACGCACTACCGGAACAGGGCCCTATGCCGACGGCCATATCTATGCCGACGGCCACCGTCCGCCTTGTTTGGGCTATGCCGACAGCCGTACCCAGGCCGTCGGCGTAATAAAGCCGTCGGGCTATCCAGACATATGCCGACGGCCCCCGTCGGCCCAGAACAGCCGTCGGCTTACCCAAAGATACGCCTACAGCGGCCGTCGGCATATCTGGGCCGTCGACATAGTTGCGGGCCCGACGATCCCGCCGTGCCGTGCGGCTAACGGCGTCCGATCTATGCCGACGGCCGAGGCGGGAGGCCGTCGGCATAGATGCCCTTACCACATCATCGATCCGAGGCGCGCACCGACCACCACCTATGCCGACGGCTGCCGTCGGCATAGATGCCACATCATCGATCCGCAGCGCGCCGGCCATCTGCCCTATGCCGCAGCTATGCCGACGGCTTTGCCGTCGGCATAGATTTTTTTTTCTTTTTTTCTTTTTTCCTTTTTTTCTTTTTTTCTTTTTTTCTTTTTTTCACAGCTATATTTTTTTCATAGTTTTTTTTCTTTTTTTACCACGTCATCGATCTTTTTATCATAGTTCCCTTATCCACTTCCCGGTCACCCCCTCCACTTGTTATTTTTTTCTTTTTTTCCATAGCTATATTTTATGTTTTCTTAAATATTATTATTTGACTAACTTACATATAGTACGTGTTGACAACCGGGTGGTGTTGTGGCATGTCCGAAGAGGCGGCACGCGTCTCCGGTGCGTGGCCTCCCTCACGGACGGCGCCGCCGCCGGCACCTGGAGGGGGAAAACGGACGTGTCGGGTCTACGCGGAGTGGATTTAGCTGTGGTTTTGGCCCGGATGTTGCTCCCGGGTGTCCCTATGGGCCGACCTGACACAACCGGGTGGAGAGGTCCACTGGTCAAAGCCCGTCTGTGGGAAGTCAAAGGGCTAGATCTTGTGGTCAACCGCTCCAGGGTTAGGCGGGACGGGGGCCCTGGGGGTAGCA